TTTTCCTTTTGCATGCTGTTTGGGCTGAGGTGATGGTAGAACTGGAGCTGCATCGGCCTTGGCCTTCGCCTTGGGCGCTGCCTTCTCCTTGGGAGTAGCTTTAGGCTTCGCTTTTGGATTTGCATCCGGTGCAGCAGCAGTTGGATTTGGGGCAGGAGCTGAAGGTTTGCCGCCACCTGCAAAGTCTCTTGCATACTTCTCTCTAGCGGCCACATGCTTGTCCTCTCTGATTCTGGAGATGTGCCTTTCGATGACGTCCAACAGATAGCGATAGTTTCGTCTTTGGTCTCCTTCAATCCATGACTCGTACTGCTTGATGTCAAACATCATAAGACTCGAATTTCGAATCTTCTTGTATAGAGCATCACGAAGCCAATCATCAGGAGGTACATCATCCGGCATCATGTTTGATACCATCTCCATCCATTTCTCGTAGAACACTTCCAGGTTTGAGTCACCGAGATACTTCATTGACACAATGTGCTCCATAGTGAAGGCTGTCTCTCGTTGACCTGGGGTTCTGAAGTGCTCCAGGATCATAGCCAAGATTTCCCGTCCCATGACATAGGTTCCTCTTCGACTATGACTTTGTGTCCTCAATCTCAATTTGATCGCTACATGACGAGCAACATCACCGGCTTGGGCTATCACATTTGACAATGCAATTGACAACTTGGCGTCGATTGACTGATACCGTTGCCCTCCACTGTCATTTAATAGCTCGATGTCAGGATTTGGTCGAATAGCCGGCTGTAGCCATGCTTCCCATGCGGCTTTGTCCCCATCATTTGCAGAAAGAACAACACTCTTGATGAGATCTGATTGCCAAACCCCAAGATTCTGTTGTTTCGGCCATGGGCTAACATAGACTTTGTCAGCCTCCCGTCTTGACATTCTCGGCACTTCTTCTGCAGTGTAAGCCGCTGTGGAGACATCATCTGCTGAATCGCGTTGTGATCCTCGAATTGAAGGCAAACCTGGAGGTTCGGGAGGTGGTCCTGGACCGTTAGGCCCGAAAGGGTCCGGAGGTCCATCAGGATCAGGCGGACCGCCCCATCCACTCGGTGGCTTGTAGTAGTCCCTCTCAGTTCCGTCAGCGATCTTGTTGTCGACTTCTTTCAGCAGATCAGTGATTCTTTTGTTTGATTGAGAAGGTTGTTGTTGAGAAGGTACAGCATGTCCACGATAGGAATGAGCCATATTTGTCTCATAGGTCAACTCCTTGTCGATCTGCGAAACCCAAGATTTCAGAATAGCGTTTTCACAGTTAGCCTCACTCACGTCATTCTCCAGTTTGTCGATGACTAGTCTTGATGCGAGATCGTAGTTGGGAATGCCTGCCGAATAGGGAAGTGTGTCAGGGCTGACCCTAGATATGGATGTTTCAGAATCCTTGAGACTCTTTCTCAGTTCATCTAAGTGACGTTTCATGTCCATAATCTCAGAATTCTTGATACCGATCTTTTCATCCCTATCCTGGATTTCCCCCATGAACATGCATGATCTCTCATATTGCTGAACACCACTAGCCAACTTCATTTTGCGCTCACTCTCTAGTTCAGATTTTAGAGTTCGGACCTCAGCATTGGTGAGGGACGACGCCCCTACATCCGCAACTTCAGCCAATCTCTCTTTTAACAACAAGTTCTCTTGTAAACATTCATGAACTTCATGATCTAGATCCTGAACCCTGATTTGAGCGATTTTGGCTTGATTACGTAAATCTTCAACAAGCATCTCATCGGGGCCACGACCGTCGGTCGTAGGACCCTGAGTCAACGATCTTCGTAACTTCGTGTTCTGCAACTTGATCTCATCCTTCAATTCGCAGTTCATCTCCTGCTCGTTGGTATAGAGCTCTTCATAGTGCTCTGCCCTTGCGATCGAGTTCGCACTAGCCTGTGATTCAAGCCTCAGGTGTGATATTGCTTCGGCCTCTTGGTTCCTGTATGATGCAATTCTTCTGACGGTATCATGTTCAGTGTTTCGATGCTTCAGATCACTTTCCAATTTGGCCTGATTTGCCTCGAAGACCTTCTTTCTAGATTCTCTAGTGATCTCGTCGATACTGCTTTCATACAGCTCGGCCTGTTTACGAGACTGAACTAAAGCTTCACTCAATAGCTGGTTCCGTTCAGATAATTCATGAAGTGCAATTGATTGTTGTTGGCTAATCACTTCAAGTTGATTGCTAGAGAATGATGCCATTTCGGATCGATTACGATATTCCATGATTGAGTTCTGGAAATCTGTCTGCATTTCTTGACCTTCATTGTATAGTCGATTGGCAATATCGGTGGTTAAGACATTGGTTTGATGAAGTTGTTGCAGTCTTGCCTCCGTATTACCCAGTAGTCCTTGAAGGTGATGTACTTCATCCTTGTACTCCTCCTGGATCTCCATACCACGTTGATGGATCCGTCGTGCACCATGTTCCATTAGGGCACCTCGGCGTTCAAGGTCTTGGATGCGTATTGTTGCACCTTCGTCTTCCTGAGATGCTACCATTAGTTCTGCTTGATATTCTGCAACCTCATTTGCGGAACATGACAATCTATGATTGAGTGCATTGACCTCATCAAATACATTCTGATTGTGTTCCCGAAGATACTCAGTGAATCTGATCTCGATGTCATGAATCAGTTGATCTCTAGATGCAGCGTATGCTTCCATGTTGTTCAGCTGATTACGTAGGGATTGACATTGTGCCCGTAGTTCTTCTATCATGGCAATAGGTTCACTAGCCACAGAAGTATCCGTTGATCTCCTCTTAACACGACTATCCCCGGTCCTCTCACCAATTCGGTCGGTCACGGCCCTGGTGGATCTGTCCCTTGGAGTAGTACGTCCTCGAGATGGTCGATGCCCTTGGCGGACAACATCACTCCGAGCACTGTTTCGAGAAGATCTAGGTGTACTTTGGGTAGATATTCTTCGTCTGTTTGATGTAACTTGCCATCCGGACTGTGTAGTTCGGGTAGAGCGTATCCCGCCACTGTCTGCCGTGTCGCCAGGGGAAGATTGATTGACCTCCTCGACCGGCATAGCAGCGTTCTCATTGAAGGTAAACTGCGTGGTGCGCGAATCTCCGCTGCCGCCTTGCATCTTTGCGATGATGAGCTGATTGGTCCTTTGCGTCCTCAATCAATTGCTCAGAAGGCCCGGCTACCAGCACGCAGGTACCACTCTCCCGGCGGGAGAAGTGAGCCTTACGGCTGATAACCTGTGAACAATTTGATCCTTGTTCTGGATTATCCCTTTTGATTGTAGTACCGGTTATGCTGGTAGTGCAGGGCAACGTCACTGCATGGCGTTCGGAGAACGGTCTTTTTCCTCGCGCATGACTTGAGCCAAGTGATTGGCGGTCCATGCATAATTGTTTACATGCTCAGCATGTGCAATGGCTGTATTACCTGGTTCCCTTTCGCATATATTATATTGATTGAGTTACACACTATATAATAAGTAGACGTATTGATCAAGATGCTGAACAGTTTCCTGGTGAAAAAAACATCTCTAGGATTTAACCAATATATAGTGGATAGGGGTCTGTATGAAAATATGTTGAGGTTGTCCTCAATTCATGGTGAAATCACATAAATTCTACTGGGGTGAAATGATGATCAACTATCATCTGGTTATTTAACATAGCCATGGAAAATCACCATTTTTAATAGGTAAACCATCTATAAATGGGCCATGTTCATCCATTTTCCATGGCTATGTTAAATAACGAGAGGGTAAATGGAATGGGTATCCTATTTTCAGACAAGCCCAAATCAACTCGGAAAATCTCCGAAACAATAATTTCATCCAAGTGCTGGGAAGTAGCTGGTGGGTTGGGTGCTTCGGAATCCTTTTTTGGGTTCCCAGCAAACCTCTGGTGATTCAAAAACGCAAGGAATTAAAATTTCATCTTTTGCATCTGTTGCATCAAGTTGTTCTTGCCTTGCTAGATGGAAGAGTGAGGTCAAATGTCCCCTCATCATCCTCATCTTTGTCCTGGTTGGTTTCAGTTTCAACCTCCACCGCAAAAGAACATGTCATGATATGTTGTGATCATCATCTCATTTAGTGGTGTTGAAAAAAATCCACAATTTAAAACATCTTCAATAATGTCCTTTTGGTAAAAATAGAGGGGCCGGTTTGGTATACCATCTATCATCATTTACCTGTTAAAGGGGTAAACCTTCAACCCCTCTATTAATCAACCAACCAATGGGAAAAGGACATCTATGTTATATATATATATGCATGTATATATATGCATGTATATATATATATACATATTTATATATAAATATACATATTATATATATATAACATCTTTTACTCTGAAACCACCAGTGTCAAACGCCAGGCCCCAGCTTTCGCCCTTGACCTGGCCTTGGGCTTGGAGCATTTGGCCACGAGAGTGGCAGTGGCTGTATCTGCACAGCCACTGCCCACACGTGTGAGGAGATAAAAGAGCATATGCCCTGGCGACGAAAACGCTGGAAAACGGCATCCTCAACATCCCAAGCGAAAATGGGTATCCTCCGGTCATGGACGTGGGAAATCCACTACAAAAGGGCATTTCAAAGTGAAAATCATCAACAAATAAGAGAATAAAAGAGAATTCTCATGGATTTTCTATTCGCCATGTTTGATTACCGATCCAAAGGTTAGCAATGAGACCTCACAGTTGTCATTTATGAGGTCATTGTGTTACCAAACACTTCTCTCACAAGTCTTCAGATGTCATTGTGTGGGTAGATTGCTGAAAACCAGAGACAGCATAAACGCACAATTTATATGTACATCAATTCATTCCAAAGTTCTGTTGTGCAAACAAAGGAGATAGGTATCCATGTTCTTCCATTTGAAACATCTACTGCGTCAAAAACCAGAATCATCATCAATCCCACACCGAATTCAATTCTACATACAATAATTACAAACAACGTGAAACAAACAGTTCGTTAGGAATTTGCTTGCAATTTCCGTCCAAATCGTTTGTGTCATTTTGAAATGGAAAACAATGCATTCCAATTTCCCACTGTGTGGCCTGGTTGATGCCAACACAGGGAGAAACCACTGAGCCCGATAGCCACGAATATGATGCCCAAAAAGCAAGTCTGGCGGCATCGCATGGTGAGTCGTAGGTTGACTTTTGACAAACCCAGCGGTCCGGCATGAAAACATTGCAGCGTTTCACATTGCTTGTTGTGAAACTGGTGAATCGAGCTATGTCGAACTTGCTCATCTGGTTGGTGGTTTTTCGCCACCCCTCTGAAAAATATGAGTTCGTCAGCTGGGATCATTATCCCCAATATATGGAAAAAATAAAACATGTTCCAAACCACCAACAAGTCATGCAAACGAAACGGGATTTGCATTGGATGATTCAAAAACATGACACAGGAAAATCATGGAAAATCGACGAATGAACATGAATGAACCATCACGTGCAAAGTCAGTGGCAAAACATTCAACGTTCATCACCGTTCATCATGGACAACAAATTCCGCAAATTTAGCGCCAAAAACTGAGTCTGAAACGATGTTTGGGCCCCAAAAACTGACCTCAGAAATTTGCTGCGCCGAGTCGCGAGGAAGTCGCGGTTTTCTGTTTCTGTTGAAAAAAACACGACCCAATATCCCTGCTAGATCATCTCAGTTGGCCTAAAAAATGGCCTTCCTGAGGAATCGGCCAGGACTGGGAACAAGAACAACTGTGTCGTGACAGTTGCTGCTGCTCCAGTAGAGAAGATCAAACTCAGCTTTTGCTGGTTGTAACCTAACGCAAATCGCAGTGCAGTTCTGATTGGAAAGCTGCAACTTGAAGTGAACTCCCCCCAACGCCACCTTGATTCTCTTCGAAACTAATGGATACTAAATTATACTAAATTAGTCTAGTGGCATCTAATGGGGCATGAATAAGTATGATCTTGTGTCAACCTTCGACTGCTCACATTTCATCAGGTTCCTGAACCCTCCCTGCCCAGCCTAGGCAGCGGTTTGCAAACATGGCGTAGGTGCTGACCATCAAGGTTAACCTGAGCAACGTGGATGTGGCAACTGATTTTGCAGCGGATGCGGTGTCCCAACGTCTTTCGGAACGATGTTTAGAGAACTTTTGGGGGGCCCTTCAAATATTTGGTGTCTTTTCGTTCAGAGTTTTTAAGGATCAAAACTGCTCATGTCCCCTCTGGGACGGACATTGGGTATATTGTGTAAATTTTAAACCTGAGCGACTGACCATCTTGTCGCTTTTTTTCATGAACTGTGCTGTTCACACTCATCCCCTTATGTGAAAGTAGTGTCGCGCCCTCTCTTCTTTCCCTTTTGTTTAAGTCTTCGATGCATGTAAAGATTTACGGGCGTTTACGGGGGTGGGGATTTCCTTGCCTCATTGGAAAGTGCAGTGGAGCACGGCGCAAGTGCTGCGGCTGCGTATAGAATGTATAGATATATAAATTTAGATCCGCAGGCAGGGACTTTTTCTGGAACTTCCGCCGAAGCTTCATTTCATTGTGTTGTTATTTCTCTTGCCACCAAATCTTAAACTTCCGCCGACCCATTTGATTTCCGCAGAAACCTGATGTTGTCCCCGGATATACCCACCCCCCGATCCGTTCATGACCTGATGCAACATATCCTCTGTGACCTTGCGACCTTGCCACTGTCTAGTTCTTGTGCCAACCTGCCCTATAGCATTCAAAACATTTCAAAACATTGAACTTTGAACAGCTTTGCATTCCTTTAAAATTTGTTCGGGGCAGTTCTGCGGAAATATTACTCACCTAATTATGTCGAAATCTCTGCTAATTGGCCAAAATTCTCTTGGGGGAAAAACCAAAACATGTTCGGCGCCTGCTTTGTTTGCAGGAAAGATGTGCAAATGTGGCTTCATTGAAGAGAATTAGGTAGAACAGCACCATCTATAATCTATAAACACAACTCAAGGACTTAGTTTTCCAAAGGGATTCCGCCGAGGTGTTTTTGAGGCCGAAAGCCTCAAACAAATGACGTTCCAACGGAGACAAAAATAAACATGCATTTGGATGCATTTGATCTCCAGGTACTCAATCCAACGTTTATTTCAAGACGACACATCATCAATATCCACCCATCATCATCTACGACCCTTCAAGACATCAAGATGGCTGAAGTGCTTGCTTGATACAGCCATGGGAGTTAAGGGGCACTCGGGCACTCTATAATTGCCAATACACTAAGTGGAGACACGATCCATTCCATGAAAATGGCAGCTGCTCAAAATTGGCAACACTGAAATTCTGCAGACTGACTCTCTAAAACATCTTGCCCGCATCAGGCCAGTCAGGGCTGGGCATTGGAGTACCAAAAGTGATGTAGTCACAAATCCTTTCTGCTTTAGATTATGAACCTTGCCTTTGAAGTCCTATTGTCAATGCTGCCATTCTCAAGTCAAGGTACGTCTGTTGCATGCTATTCGACACAACTTGTTACTTTGTGTCCTCTAAGTCCAAGTAGCTTACCATGTCGTATCACTGAGTACAGTGGAAGTGTATGAAGAAATCATGGTTAAATCTATGTGAGTATGGACGCGATCAGCATGTTTCAAACTCAAGTTTAAAAGGTTAGTTTTGAAGTGGAAAAGGTTAGTCTCTAAACCCGAGGCCCGGCTGGGTTGTAGGGGGGGAGCGGGAGAAACAAACTAACTCTGAGGAAAAAGGTGTGTTTGTGGGCGAAAAACAAAGGTTTTGGGGGGTGGGGAAACGTTAGTTTCTGGCTCCGGAAACAAAGGTTTGGGCTAGGGAAAGGTTTGTTTCCGGGAGGGAAAAGAAACGTTTACAGGAGAGGTTATCGGAACCATAGGGAAACTAAGGTTTCAAAACTAACGTTTCGAGGTCGAGAAACAAAGGTTTCCAAGCCGGAGAACATGAGTTTGTAAGTTTCCGCTTGCTCCCCGGAGCAGCAGCAGCACCAGGAGCGGTGGCAGCGGCAGCAGCAGGCAGCGGGCGCAGCAGGAGCCGCAGTAGCATTAGCAGCAGTCGCAGCAACAGCAAGAGCAGTCGCAGCAGGAAGACGAAGTAGAAGAAGAAGCAGAAGAAGAAGAAACAGAAGAAGAAAAATAAAGAAGAAGAAGAAGAAGAAGAAAAGGAAACCGAAAAAGGAAGCCGAAAAAGGAAGCCGAAAAAGGAAGCCGAAAAAGGAAGACGAAGAAGAGCAAGAGCAACTGCAGGAGAAAAACTAGAATGGCCAACAGACAGTTTGAAAGGTCAGTGGCGATGCCGAGCGAGAGTTGAATCGGTCATGTGCGACTGAAACCCAAAGTTGCATGGCGAGGCCGACCAGAATTGCGCTGGATGGTGAATATGAAAAAAATGCCAAAGCATGGCGGGGCCGACGAAAAGGTCTGTTCGAAACAAGAGGGTACGGGCGAGGCCGAAACGCACTGCAATTTGGGTCATTGGGCATGCAGTTCGTCTGGTCATTGGCGATGCCGACAGAAAGGAAGGATGGTGAATATGAAATTGTTGCCAAAGCATGGCGAGGCAGTTCGATAGGTCATTGGCGATGCCGACAGAGAGGAATGATGGTGAATAATTATGAAACAGTTGCCACAGCATGGCGAGGCCGAGATGAAGGGCAGCCCGAAAGGTTAGTTTCATTGCTTTCAAACTAACGTTTCGAAACGCAAGTTTTTTCAGACGAAAAGGTTTGTTCGAAACAAAAGTTTTCCGTGTCAACAAAAGTTTCAGCTTGGCAGTCTGGCAGTTTGTTATTCCAACCCAAAACAAACGTTCTGTAGAATAGTTTGTTTCCGTACCTAAAACAAACGTTCCTGAAACAAACGTTTTCGCAAAAACAAACAAACAAACAAACTAGTCGAAAAAAGGTTTGTTTTTGAGCTTTTCAAACTAGTTCCAACGGAGTTTGTTTTGAGTTTCCAGTTTCAAACTAACGTTTCCAAAAAAGGTTTGTTTCGAGCCCTGAAACTTACGTTTTCGCAAGAGAAACGTTGGTTTTTGGAGGAAAACATGCGTTTTCTCTTTCCACTACTTCCAGTCCCAAGCTTGGACAACACCAAAACATTAGTTTCCGCCTGGAAAACAAACCTTTTCTGCCGTCTAGAAACATTTGTTTCAACCAGGAAAACTAACCTTTCTCCTGTCAAAACGTTTGTTTCTGCCTCAAAACAAACTCCTGGTTGCATCCTTATTGATCTATGTGCATTCTAGCCATCTAAAGTGGCCATTCAAAACCTACAGTTTTAGTAATTAGGAAACTTATCTATGATGATGTAATCATGTCATGTCATGTCATGTCACGTCATTTCATATCTTTCCATACTGTTTGTTTGCTTGCTTGCTTTCTTGTTTGTTTGTTTGTTTGTTTCCCTGCACTCAGAAGCGTCTGATGCCTGTGATCATATCATAACCGGTGGCCATTGCAGTCGGGCAACGACCATGCAATGGTCACTGCCACCATCCGCAGTAAGGGTTGAGCCAAGCTCCACGACGTGGAGGGATCACCTGGGCTAACTATGGGATGATATGGGAACACCCCATTCATATAATATATAAAAAATAGGATTGTATCAACCCTATTAAATGATTATATGAAACTCTGTATTTTAGTTTCGAGACAACCCCTGTTTTTTGATGGCCCAAAATAGCATCCTTTAGCTACTTATTCTGCCAAGTGGGTCAGACTTTGATGAGACACGCACACGCGGGTATATGATGATGATGCTGACCACTAGATTTAGATCTGTATCTCGTCATGTACTGGTTGGTGGTTGAGCCACCCCTCTGAAAAATATGAGTCAGTTGGGATGATCATTCCCAATATATGGAAAGTCATAAAAGCCATGTTCCAAACCACCAACCAGTGTATGATCTCTCTCCAGAACACTCTTATCGGCGACTCAATATTTGCCTTGGAGCCATCAGATCAAACCGTATCTGAACACTGTAATGTTGTATGCAAAATGGTACGTTTTTCCCCCCTAAGTCTGAATTACCTTTAGGATTGAAACTATCTTCGCTTTACGTTCATCCGAGTTAGTAAGTGGATTAGTTCACCCTAGTTATAAGATGTTATAAGTGGACTAGACCTACTTCCCGACTGAATAATATAACTGGGGTGAACTAATCCACAAAATTCCACAAACGCGTTTCCGGGGTGAACCAGCAAGTATCATCTGCCATCTGCCATCCTCTGCCAAAAACCATAGAATTCATCGAGTTAGTTCCACCAACTTAGCGATTTCGTTTACGAGTTTACACGGGCCCTCGCTGTATTGACAAAGCAATATCACCAGGGTCGGTGTTGCTACCAGGGCATTAGGTGTTGCTACCAGGGCCCATATGCTGTCTCCATGTATGGCAACTCAATTTCTGAACAAGAATTTGTCATTCCATGTCATTTACAAGAAACGACATAGTGACATAGTGACATACTATATTGTTCCACTTCATAATCCTGTGTACATGTCTGTGTGATTTTTCATGTGTCTCCATGTCATTCCATGTTATCCTACGGCCGCATCTTGAGACCCAAACCTGCTGTGGCTTTCGTGGCTTTCGTGGCTTCTGTTGCCGTTGTGAGCCCACCTGGTCTGAAGATAGGTCGATGGAGAATTGATGTAACATCTACCCCTTGGTAACAGGTTGCGATGGAAAATCACTATTTCTATTAGGTAAATCACCATGTCTATCCTTGAACTACAGTAGATGGGCCATTTTCCATAGCTACGGGTAAATAACCGATAAGGGTATCACCCTGGGGTATGGTCTGTCCAACTTGGGGTGCAGCAATGCTTATTAAAAAGGATGAAATCACCCGCGTAAGTTAGGATACAACATGGCATAAGCCCATATAGACCCCACAACTATGAGCGGTTAATACTCATTTTCACTACGAGTAGGAAGATGGCAGTTTTGTTATATTTTTACCCATGTATATCATTACCCATAGGATCCATGGTGCTGGTATATATGCTAACATGACTGGGGTATATTGATGGGATCTTGATGGGATCCATGTTACCATATATACCATACATGGATCCGTCATGGGTTATATAATTCAGTGGGTTTTGTTATATTTACATATATTTACCTATGTATATCATTATGAATTCATCACGACTTCCGGCAACATCTCCGGTCTCCGGAGGTCTCCGACCTGGAGCCAGGGCTAGAGAGATGCCCAGGACACTCAGTGCCACCAATCCGATGCCGCCAAAGACGCCGCGCACACAGAGCTCTGTTGGCCAACCAAAGGTCTGCCGGGATGCGGTGGTGAGTCATGTTTACTGTTTATAATAATATTTAAGATCATCATTCATTTATATTCATTTATATTCATTTAGGGGTCTTGGTAGCCGAACTTGGGGTAAGAATATTTGCTTGGAAGTCTATGTGGCCTTCGATACGTTTTTTTTTTTTTTTTCGATTGAGGGGTAGCCTGGTGTAGGAAACACACATGATCACACATTGAGAATGAAGACGTCGGGATTTCATGGTCAGTGACCTCCAAAGTTCACAGTGTTGACAGAAGAATGAGTAAAATAACAAGACCATGAATTCTTCTGTACTCGATAGGTCTTCTAAGTGACATGGCATACACTAGTCACTAACCTGCCCGAAGTTGACTACAGTGTGAGCCACAAGTTAAACTTGAGTCAAACCACTTTGAGATCTTTGTCTTTCAGACATTCTTGGCATTTCAAGTTCAAGTAGCCTCTGGTAATTTAACATAATTAGCTATTGAAAATTGTCATTTATAGTTGATTTACCTATTAAAGATGGGGATTTTCCATAGCTATGTTAGTTTACTGTTAGTTTACCCGAGGGTATTATTTTTTCTCAGAACCAGACTCTAAAGAACACCGGCCGCGACGATGCGATGCCATGATGATCCATGATGCCTTGCCAAGCAATGCTGCCACGAAGGCTGAGACGGCAGGGCCAACCACCACACCCAGCTGAGCAGCCTTGGGATGAAATGGAGGTTTCCTCAGTGGGGGTACCCCCAAATCATGCAGTCATGGATGACCATGGACTTAGTCAATTTAGTCAGTATCTTAGTCAGTATTGAAACCCATGGTGACGACTGAACGGGATCCCCTGACTTAAGAAACGACCCTTAAAATCGATGAACATTGGAACTAAACTAGCGGTAACTCAAACCATCTCAAACCACTGTTCTAGTATCTTTCTGGGCTTCCCAGTGGCGTACCAGATGATAGTTTGTTTTGACGGGGGAAAAGAATCAACCACTTGCAGCATCTCTGTCCCTGCATCGGAAGATGTAGGAAGATGTATTGGATATCATCATTTGCCCGTATTTGGTAATTTTGGGGCAATTTCCCGCATCTTCAGACACCAATCTCCGACCAGCAACAGCAGCCACTCGGCTTAAGGCAGTAGCTGCTCCATCGGACACAATATCGGTGACTGCTGCCTGACGACACTGGCGGGGTTCTCGAAATGGGGCGCCCCCTTCTGGGATATTTCAGGGAAGCTCACTATGCCGGTTACTGAAAGATATGGCAATGTTGGGTTTTTTCCATGGTCTGCCCCATTTTGGGACAAATGTATGAACCCACATACGTACAAATGGAGAATGGGGCGCCGGGGGACCCACAAATTGATAGGATCTGACACCATCCATATTGGTGCCAAATGTGCCATACGTTGCAGATTCTGTACCAAAGAAGTCTGGGCAACAAAAAGATCTCAAAGGTCATTTTGGTGGTTATTTTGGTCATTTGACATCTGAAACTCGACAAATCATCGCACATTTCCAGGGTTAGCAGCCAATGCGTCAAGCTGCTTGAGCGACAGGTACAGAGGCAGCAAAAGCACCTGGGTCTGGATTCAGACATCACCAGGAATGTAGCAAAGTTGAACAAGAAACGATCTTTCAACATTTATTGGAAAAGAAACCTTCACATCTCAACCATCTTTTCCTATTCACATCCAGGACCCAAAGACCCACTCCGGGCTCCACACCCGCTAGAAGTCGTCCAAATAGAATGCCCACGATGCTACTTGAGATAGAGATCAGCAGCGAAGCAAAGGCTGCACCAGCTAGGCAGGCCCTGGATGGAGCTGCAAGGGTATCAATACCCTCCGTCATCAAAGTTGGTGACCTTGTGATTGGAAAATCCACTATAAATGGCATGTTTTAAGGGGACATCATCTGATGATTTCCGGAAGGTAATTTCAATTGAAGACTTCCCAAATTTCATTATTTCGAGCACTTGGATAAAAAAATGATTCATTTCAAGTCTTCCACTGACCCATCGTTCGCATGTCTTGCATGAGAAGTATAAACTCGCTCAAATCACACTCCAATCAAACCTGGGATCGGCGTCCTGAGCACACGAAGACGACCCAATCTGCTAGAAGCACTGATCAGGATGGGGCAGCAAATCATTTGAGCCACTGAGAAACACGAAGTGGCCTCAATGAAGTCCGGCCGTTTCTTAAAAAAATAACGAGTCACGTAGCACTTAAACAAGGTGCCGGACATGTACTGACTACATACCACTTTCATCCACTTTCATTCTATGAACCTTGGAACCATCAGTGATGCAACAAGCTGTTGCGTGTCGAGACTTACAACTTCGTTTCGCTCCGCGGATTTTTAAGTTTCACCAAGATACAAGGCCCACCTGCAAAGGGGATGCCCCAAAGCTCAGCAAATGCAGAGGAATTGTAGAGATAGCAATGCCTTCTCCGAGCATCTGCACGAAGACAGACCTTGGGAACTTGGACAATAAACTGTGTTACGCTATTACTGTAGGGCAGTATTGTCAGTATTACATAGTTTTTTCCCTCTGGTCATTTAATACATATTTAGTACTAGCAGCTAGTATCAGCCTGTTTAAACATGTTCAATAGGTAAATCATGGAACTAAATGGGTAATTTTCCATAGCTATATTATACAGTAGTTATTTTCAACTACCAGATCAAGATGTCTATTTTATATTATAAATATATATATATTATACATATATACATACCTGGATATTCATTGGTTACAAATTTCTTTCCAGGGCAGATTTTGGTTTGATTTCTGTCCATTTTCTGTAGATTTGTCCATTTCAAAATAAAAATTACCATGTCAAGAAAAAAACCGCACCACTTCATGTTTTCATGTTTCAGTCATGATGAATCTGCCCGGGTATTTCCGCCCTTTTGCCGGGTATTTCCGCCCTTTTCCCGGGAATTTCCACACCCATTTTTACGCAAAGTAGAGTAAGATCAGCCCAAAAGGTACGAAATCCAAAATTGTAGTCAAAACATGACCATTTCCAGCTCCTTCACAAGAAATCCAAGGGCAGAAATCTTGCAAACGGTCCAGTGGTATTCAACAAATACAGTATCTTCACCGCTTCCGCTGAGCGACATGGAGATAGGCAGCAAAGACTTCGCTGGGACCTCCGCCACGGTCCCAGCACGAAGGGACAGTCGCCTCTTCAGGCCGAATATCCAGCTGATGACAAGGTCAAGACCACTACGAGCTAAATCATCCCCAAACACATCATGTAATATGTATATATATATATATGTATATGTATACATATATATATATAGACTTCATTTCTGATATTTCTGATGTATATGTAATAATTATAGTATAAACTATCAACACACACATGCCGGTCAAGCCGCCACCTAGAGAATAGCTTTAATATAGTATACCGATTAACCGATTAGTGTCCTGGGACTCTATTGTGGGATTTTTTCAAAAATAATTAAGTATCTTGTGAATCATGGGGGTGTGGGCCTCTATTATGAGAAGTTTTTTTCTCAGATTCATTTTTTCAGGAGGAGCTTTATCCACCTTTATGCACCTTCCTTTGGGAAAACTTGTCCATTTGCTTTAGAAAGCCATATCCATGTTAAAGCCTTGAAAATGCAAGGTTTCTCAAATAATTACTGTAGATGCCTTATTAAATCCTTATTAAAAAAAACAAAAACAGCACCCAATCAATTTTTCAAGGGGGTACCCCATGAGTGACCCAGATCCTCAATAATGTAATTGTTTCGATGGTACCCTATTGTGCAAAAAAACTTTTGGGACGATGTTGTTTTGGATTTAAAAGGAAAATCAATTGAAGTAAATTGATGTCAATTGAAATCCTCACTTAAGTTGACTATCCTAAAAATTGTTGAGGGGGGGCCCAGAAAATGGCGAGTCATTGAGTAGCCTAAAATTGTTGGGGGGGCCACACTAATCAGTATCCAACATTACAAGCCCTGGAGAATCACCCCCTGCCTCCGCGTCAGCCTGCCATGGGGTGGGGTGGCAACGGAACAAATGGCCACGAAGGTGGGCGCCAGCGCTAGCGCCAGTATGGCCAAGAGCCGCTTCAAGGGTAATGACATGTGCCTCTTTGGGCCCATGGCTCAAAACTTCAAAACGAGTCAGGGCTTCTACATGGTTTCTACATGTTTCTACATCTGTTGAAGTCTCTAAGAACCCAGGGATGAACGCTGTGTTGATTCGCTCTGGTGTTTTCATCATCTGCGAAATCAACCAAAACGAGTGCTAGAACAAGGCAGATTTGACGACAAGGCTGTCTGCTCGAGGCTTCAAATGGCCACTTGGGACACAGACTCTGTGAAACTGAGCCGTGAACATGAATGAACACGCCAAACATGCACATACCAAAAAAGTTTGTCAAAATCTCATGGTCGTCACCATTTTTCCCATGAAACTGGCAGTAATTTGGGGCTGAATCCCAACTGGCACAGAGGATCTCAGGTCCCAGCCATGCTGCCGCTACTTCCTGGTCGAACACGTTTTGAGCGTATCAAATGTTATGCCTGTTTGGATAGGCCCCGAAAAATCAGTGGGGTAATTTCCCCACATTTCTAATACATTTCTTGGGATCATGAAGGCTGTGCAAAGTTGGTTGTTCCCCCATATATGTTGGTTGAATCATTGTTTCAACAAGCTGTGCATATGGGATCATTAGGTCGCGACAAATCAAAACTATGCAGACTACAAAAGACTGTGAACAATTTTAAGGTCATCATATATTCAACTATTACCCTCTAGTTATTTAACATAGCCATGGTATAGATGGCCCATAGAAATAGATGGTTTACCTATTAATAGCATGGTGAATCTTTCCATGGCTATGTTAGTCATAACCAGAGGGTATACTCTGCACTAATATGTTGACCATCCCCCAGCTCAACTCACACCATATCCCGGACCCAAAATCCGCCTCTCGCAGGCCACTGCGCAACTGGCGACCGGCAGTCGTCTCCCATCCCCCCATTCGTCATGGTCCCAATGGAAGGTGTAAATCCCTACATCCACCATGGTTTCTGGGGTGTTGGTCCATATCAGGGGAAGGGATCAATTCCATGTTCGCAAAGAAACCCATTAATTAGCTTACAGTACCTCCTCCCAAAGTTTTTATTGAAATAGTAGGACTTCTGGGACAATTGACTCTCATCTTGCGTGGCCCCAACCAACAGTCTTGACCAAACATGGCCGAACATCAAAGGCGTGCGTTCACAACAATGAACATTCTTCAAACATCATGATGTAGCATGAACATGATCCTGTTGCCTGTATTATGATTGTTGCCCATTTGTTATTGTTTCTATGACCTGTATACATTGTTTATAATATAACATCATTGTGCAATATATTTCTAATTATAATATGTGGGTCTTATTATCTACATGTCTAATGTTAAATAATGTCTATGATATATATATATATAGTATATATTATATATACAGACCCGAATCATTGTTGGAAATCAGGATGCCACTCTGATCATTACAACTTGTACCAGCATCAACATCAAACAACTGATGTTCATCCCCCAAACACATGGTATAATATAGATAGGTTTGATCTATACCCATATGCCCATATGTACTAGAACGCAACCCCCTAGAGCAACTAGAACAGCTTAAAATCCTACTAAACTAGTAATTTGCTGTTCTATCCTTTATGTGGCTTACCATATCTATACTACACCAGCAGCCATATCTATGCTGCTTTTTGCGCCGTGCCGCTGTCCCAGCCCGAAAACCACCGGGTCGATGACCTCTCCACCAGCATGACTCACGCGGCGCCAAGGTACGCGACAGGTGTGTATGTTATTATATATATACAAATGTGTACTTACATGCACTTAGTGTAAAAATGTATAAGACACATTTGCAACGTACATCTGCATATGATATTATATGATGTACTATATTGTAAAAATTATACATATACATATACATATACAGTTATATACAGTATATACACAGTATATTGCAGTATATATATGCATATATATAACATCTATAAAGCCCTGTCATACTTTGGGAAAACAACTAATTACCATATGTCACCATCTCCAGTAATTGTGGCCCCTTGACATCGCCGCAACAAACGACTACGCTCTGGAGCTGCGGAGAGGTCATTGCCCCGAAGGCGATCCGCGGCCGTGAGGTCAGCAGCAGACAACTGGTGGTCCGTGGCCACGAGGGCACATGGTGTGGAGATCAGACAGCATCTCGGCCGTGTGAACATGTCATGAGTCATGATGTGAAAACCCCATGTTTGATAGGAAAACCCATGTAAAATACCTGGAAATTCCCATGGTATCCCCAGTTTTTCCCCACCTGCCCGGTGAGGGTCTATAGATTTTCACAAAACATCGCGCCTGACACGGACACGGAACGGCGCGGACACAATGCGAGGAAGAATCTCAGATAACATGTTATTTATATATATATATAAAATGCCAGATAAAGTGTCAAAATGTATGGCGGATGGAATGTCAGAGTTTATGTCAGATAGAATTTCAAAACGAATGTCAGATAGAATGTCAAATAGAACATCAGATAGAATGGCAGAAAACATGAAGGACAGAATGCCAGATGAAATTGCAGAATATATGTCAGACTTATGTCAGATAGAATGTCAGAATATAATGTATATATATATATATCAAATAAAATGTCATAATTTATGTCAGATAGAATGTCAAAATGTATGTCAGATAGAATGTCAGATAGAATGGCAGGTAGCACGAGGGACAAAATGCCAAATGAAATGGTAGAATATATGTCGGACTTATGTCAAATAGAATGCCAGAATATATATATATAGATATATTATATACACGTATATAAACGTGTATATATATATATATATCAATTAATATATCAGAACTTATGTTCGATAACATGTCAGATAGAATTATGGCAAACTGTGTGTGAGATAAAATCTCAAATAGAATGTCGGCATATATGTGAAATAGGATATCAACTAGTTCGTCAGAACATATGTCAGATACAATGTCAGAATATATGCAAGATAGGATAAATATATGTCAGATAGAATGTCAGAATACAGGTATGTCAGGATATATGCCACAGTGGGGATCACACAAAGTGAAGTAATTGTGTAGAAAATGAGAGGGAACTCGTAGAAACTCTATAGGTAGTGTCAAAAAAGTCTCGTGTACAACTGTTCATGCCTTTGAACAGTAGGCAGTTAATGTAAGTTCAACAACAGTAGTGACCCCTCATCCTCAGAAGTCTGTGAACAAGAGTGAAGAGCAGTCTATGCTGTACACCAAGAGATGCTGCACTGAGTGTCCAGTCCACACCTTTGGTGTGACTTCCCATCCGCAGACAGTGTTGAAAATCCACGTCCATCCTAAGAACTTCAAGCAGTTCACTTGCACAGTTCGACTGTGGCCAGCTCAAAAATACAAGACAGGCAGAACAGTGGTCTGGCATGATCTGCCTATGCGGGGCCATTGTTTGAATCATGCAAAGCGCCATAGAATGGGCATGATTTAAACAAAAGCCCCCAGCCCTGAGCCTTCACAAAAAAAGAGTTTAAGTTGACCAAACCAGGTCTGTATCATTCTGTTTCTCTCTGAGTTTTGATACCACTGATACGACGACCAGGTCTAATGCTCTGCCCCAAACAACGACCATCCGGCCTGAAAATGCTTGAAATGTTTGAAATTGACATCATATTGAAATCACAGTCCATTGGCAAACAAAAACAATTTCAAACCATGTCAAACCATGCAAGCTCATGAAGCTTAAATCTTACTACAGCAGCCAACTCACAGTCCAAAGTCGGTCAGACTACCTGCCATCGTTTTCAGGCTGCCATCGGTGCCATGCAGAAATCATCGACGCAACAAACAAGTTGCTGATCATAGCATGCAAACTGCAGAAATCCAGTCAGCAAATGATTTTGCAACTGGCCTTTGTTTCCTCAACATGCCCTCCAGAAAATATATCCGGTGGCCCAATAGTTGGGAACATCATAGGCAGCTACAGTACCAACCATTTACCAACCGTTCACCCACCATTTATCCATTTACCAGCCATTTATTCAGTGCCCATTGGAAAATCCCACCACTATAACCCCCATCATGGTAATTCATCATAGTTTAGGTGATGATTCTCCCCGAGATTTGAAAAGAATTGGTATGTATATTACACTAAATTATATTGTATTATATCATATTATACGTTATTATATTATATTTATATCATATTATGTATATATTATGTATAGTATGTATGTAATGTATATATTATGTATATATTATATCACATTATATTATATTCATAACATATTACATATGTATATATTATATTTACATCATATTATATTTATATCATGTTATGTATGTGTATATATATATATATCTTGTATATATTGCATTATATTTATCATATTATGATATTATGTATATGTCAAATTATAATTTATGTATATATTATGTACATCTGATATCATCTTTTGCATATATTATGTGATAATTTATGTATATATTATGTATATGTATATATTGTGTCAATATATTAATTATACTATATGATATGATATGATATGATATTATATTATATTACCACCTCCCCGCCCCCCCCCAAAAAAAAAAAAACTTTACTTCGAGTTATCCCCACCCTGGCATTTCAAGTCATATATTCGGACATATATGTTGACATTTTACCTAACATTCTATCCAACATCTATTATGATATTCTATCTTGCATATCTTCCAGCATTTTATCTGGTATATATTTTGGCGTTCTATCTGGCATATATTCTGGCATTCTATGTGGCATTCTTGCTCGCATATATTTTGGCATTCTATGTGGCATATATTCTGGCAGTCTATCTGACATATATTCTGGCAGTCTTTCTGGCATATATTCTGGCATTCCATCTGGCCGCTGAGGTCCAGCGGTGACCACTGAGCTCGGAAGGTCCCAGGTTGAGGTCCAGCGGTGCCCACTGGGCTCGGAAGGTCCCTGGTTGAGGTCCAGCGGTGCCCACTGCGCTCAGAACCTTGCGGTTGAGGTCCAGCCGTGCCCACTCAGATCGGAAGCCGGCAGTTGAGGTCCAGCAGTGCCCACTGCGCGCGGAAGTTGGAGAAGAGATTGGCGAAGAGTTGGCAAGGCGGAAGTGGACGTGGAAGTGGAGGCAGAAGGAGGAGGACGAGGAGGAGGTGGAGGAGAAGGAGGAGGAGGAGGAGAAGGAGGAGCCGGAACAGCTGTGATAAAATCTAACAACCCTCACCTGGCAGGTGGGGAATCAACATCTATCAGCAATTTTCACCATGTGTTTGATGGGTAAACTACTGTACGTATATTAAACTCCGATGGCGGTCAATTCCCCATGAAGTTTCGTAGCAACTCTACTGGTTCATAATTACAGTAAATCCCTACAACGTGCCCAGCCCGGTGATGCTTGTTGAATTCTCCAGGCCATTAACTAGTTCGTTACCCTCTGGTAAACTAACATAGCTATGGAAAATCACCATTTTCAATGGGAAAATCCACTATAAATGGCCATTTTCAATAGCTATGTTTGTTTACCAGAGGGTATCTCTACCATAAACCCAAGAGTTCAAGGCTTCCTCCGGCCTCTTGGTCCTTGCCTTCTTTCCTGGAGGACCTTAAAAAGACCACGACTGCATCACGACTCGGGATGCGAATGGAAAAGAAAACTTGGGATTTCACATGATTTTTCAAATGTGAATTGACAATTCTGGATAGTTCTGGAAATGATCCATTCTTGAAGAGTCAAAGTTATGTTCTGAAAATGTATGGTTGACAATTCCGCAAATTTGGCATTGAAACCAGAAGTTGGAAGCTGTTCGGTAATCAAGCGTGGGAATGCACGATCCCTGTTTTTTCATAGCTAAAACAGCCACCTACTAAAATGATGCATCTCCAAGCACGCCCAACGATACCCCCAAGAAAGTTTTTGATACCAGCCTGATCAGCATGGCAAAGTCACCATGAGAAAGGAGAGGTTGTGGAAATTCACAGAATTCTCATTGATGATAATAGTTTTTCGAGATCATCGAGACGACTATAGAAGCAAAACATGAAGCTGGAACACTCCCAGTGGGGGTCGCTTAAAATCGTGGATTCCCAGGTCTCCATGGGTTTCAATACAAATTTTCCAACCGTCCAAGTGGATGATTTGGGGGTACCCCCATGACTTATGAAACCCCCAAGGCCAGGCTACTCTTCGCCTTCCCTGACTTTGGCATCGCCTCAGCACGTGCTGGGTGTTTGAGCCACAAAGATGGGGCAAAAACAACTGGCTTCGTCCGAAAATCTAGGGGAAACTCCGCAAAATCCCTTGGTTTATCATATTTTTCCTTATTAAAAGTGGGATTAGGATCACGATTATTAACATTTATTAACATCCCATGTTTGCTAATTAGGGTAAAGAAACACCACCTGTATTTGACATTGGACAAACCATCCAAACCAAACATGGGGAAAAAATGCAAAGACACCTGCAAAAACACTGATGCTGACCAAGTTACAACCGAACAAATGAACGTATTACCAATTGAATTCATTCTTTTGATTCCACACGTGTGCCATTGCAATCATTCCATGCGAATAGACTTTCCAAGGCAAGCCACGTCTGACTCCTGTTCATCTTTCAATGCACCAATGCTTGCGCAACGTACCATTCTGCTTGACATAAACACCAACTCAAACAAACACAGATGAATCTGGCTGAATTCGTGATCACTCACCACTTTGAAATAACGTGATTTTGGGATGATTCTACCATGAATCCAAATGATCAACGATTTGGCTGCAAGTCAGCTTGAGTTCCCAGGCTGACTTGGCAGGTTTGGCTTCTACTTTTGGATTGTCCTCAGGGCGCAAGTCTGTGGGGCTCAATGCGTGCTGGTTGATTTCTATATGAGTCAAGCACAACAGCAATCCAAGCAAGTTGCTACACAAGGACAGCGGCTGCGACTTTTGCAAAGTCAGTCACTCAGTGGTGTGTCAATTGTGGACCCATGTGGTTCCTTCCCCACCAAACAGTGGATGTGGACTGCCACCCAGATCTCGCTTGGGAAAATCTATAGCTGGACCATTCCACCATCAATGGATTTTCCCAGCACTTCCCAGGGTTTATATCTGTTTATACCTCCGTTGGCTTCGGCGATTTCCCATGGATGAAACTGGAGGCTAATCCAAGCCATAAAAATCAGCACCAAAAATCAGCGCAGTGACCAAGTGTTGATTTCTCAGGCGGCAACCATGGCAACCACCGCACACAGCTCCAATTTGAACAGGTCCTTAGCACGAAATCCCGAAACGCAACCTCTGAGCTGGCATTGGGGCTGGGTCTCCCATCCAGTCATCCCGCCCAGAAACGTCCAGAAATCGTGGTTGAATACGGATGAAATCACATGCAAAGGGGACCGTAGAATGGGGGTGTGGCTAATATGAAGACCTGATGATTTATTTGGTATGCAGAGTCATGCATCAATATATCATAATTATCAACCAGTTGGTTACCTGAGACCCATTACGTGAACACCAAAATAAATTGCAAATGAAGGTTCATGGCAAGAACCCATGCCTCAATAGCTATTGACGCGTTGAAGTTTTCAGAGGACTCCAACGTTCTTTGCAGCGGTAGGGAACAACCTCCAATCTTTTCATAATTGATACCCTCGGGTAACATAGCTGGAGAAAAGCGCCGTTTTTAATAGGGAAATTATCTATTTGGTTTCGTAGCTATGTTAGTTTACCAGAGGGTACAACAGAAGTCCTTACAGCAATAACCCTTGACCAGAAGTGCTGCCGCTGAGGAAGGACTCATATTTGGGATGGCATGGAAAAGGGGCCCTGGGGTCTTCCCCACTTTGGATACACCCATCTTGATCTGGGCTTGTCTGAAAATTTAGGGGAGAAATCCCCAAATCCCGTTGCTTATCATCATCGTCCAATTTTCACGGGCCATTTTGGGTGCTATCCCCCATTCTCAGACACTTCCAACTTCCCTTACAGTATCACTTGGCTAAATCCCCATGTTTGATAGTTCAATGTCCATCTGGCTGGTTAGAATCTCATTAAAATAAAAATCCCATGAACTCCATTTTCAGACATATCTATCTGTTGTGGTTTTTTTTTTCTGCCCAAGGTACTTGCACCTGTACACCTCGGTATTCTTCGCCGCAATCGTTGCTTGGTTTTCCAGCAAAAAGCACCTGCAAAATCAGGGGCTTATTTGGAGGCCAATGAGCTTTCAATCCTGTACCGTAGCCTCAAACACCCAACGACCATGACCCCAAGTCATTTTTATAGGTCCAAGTCACGAAAGCAGGGTTCTGTGTGGGTATCTGAAACAAGGCACGGATTTTGCTGCGGCATAATGCGGTTAAGCCAATGATGTTTTCTGCTTGGTGTTTCTTCGAAAGCCTCCTGAAAAATAGACGAAAGTCTATTTAAGGGGATGATGTGCCATCTCTATCATCGATCATATGACTAGACCATCAATCAATGGATTGGTTTAAGGGAAAATCTACAGGAAACCATCGATTTTCCCAGTAAATATGGGGTTTTCCAGTATTTTTTCCCTTAAACCAATCCATTGAATCAACGGTTTGACAAAAATCACCAAATTCCAGGTTTACGGCACTGGGTCCACCACAGTATTCACATTCCTGGCATAAATTGCCCGCCAATAATCATCTTCACCGGAACAAAAGGGGGTTCCATACTGAAACCTTAGTATACTGAAGAGTCAACATCTATATGCAACATATACTGCAATATATATATATATACATATGTATGTATGACTATATTAATTATATATGATTATGTATGATTATATATGATTATATATGATTATATAATTATATAGTATTAAAATATATATGTATGTAATGTTGGTACATTGAAAGATGAATTCTTCCAGATTTATACCACCTCCCGAAAAACGGCATGCGGCCATATGCAGGCATTCATCGCCTCCAGTAAGGCAATGGCCAGTGGCTCCTGAACGTCCACTGTGCAACAGGTCTCTTCATCGAAGATGGAGTGCTTCTGCCTGAGGAGCGCAATGGGGATGCCATGGGAGGAAGGGAAAATCCTCACCGGAAACCCATGGTTTTTCCATGCTTTTCTCCATGTTTTTGTTCCATGTTCTTTTCCAATGAGATATGGGAAGTTCATCCGTAAATGTTCCGTACAGCGATCCATTGAAATACCGTCCCCACGGTTCCAGGCCGATGGGAAACATGGGACAAACAGCTCAATCCAGTTTTTTTTGGCTATAAAATCCATAGTTACGACATGCTCAACACACCGAATATCAATGGAATTTCAACCATTCCCCACCAATGACTTTGCTTTTTAATTTCCAGATGGTATCTGATTTTTGGAAGTAGTTGCAGCAATCCGATGAGCCCCACTTAAATATTTCAGGCCTTTCAGAGGCTTAATGAAGCTTGGTTATATGATGATATATGTTAAGAAAAATAATGATATATATATATATATCCTGGTTCACTCGCTACAATACTTAGATTTGCTTGAACCAAAACATCATAAACATATATATATATATATAAACATATTCCCTCTAGGTTCCAGAGTGTTCAAAAATGTGTTCCACAGTGTTCCGTCGTCGGCCATTTCCCATTGGGAAAATAAGCCCTTGATCAACTCAGCGAATCCCTTGACTTCATACAGGATAGCCTCCAGTAAACTAACACTTTGCTATGGAAAATGGATGAACATTATAAAATGGACCATAGAAATAGATGATTTACCTATACTATAAATGGTGATGTTCTATATGTTAGTTATTGTTAGTTGTTAGTTTACCAAAGGATAACCCTCGAATCAATAACTTTGGCACGGCGCTTGGCACCAAGAAACGTCATCTTCTCATCTGCCCACTTCATAAACTGCCCCGGCAGGGAGTCGTTGGAGCTGTTCTCATTGAAACTATTCACCTGCGCCGATGTCAAACGTTGAATCCACCATTTTCCAAAAATCCCCAGTTTTTTGGATGTGGGATATGGATGGATATGGGGATAGATTTCCAGAAAAAAAGTGGTTGGACACAAACAAATTTCTAGGTGCTATCCAAAAAAAAACACACATCCAAATATTTCCCATGATCTCCAGCACAGACCAACGATGACCAACGATGACCAACGCACCAACCTCGTTGCAGAAGGTCTTCGCAAGGGCTTCGATGTCAAACAGTTCCTTGAAACGTTGCACGGCCTTGGCTCAACGGTCTCTGACTCTCATCTTTCTCACAATCTCAGAGTGCTTTCCGCTCTTTTTGGAGAAATCCATCAAAAATAGATCGTCAAAACATATGAACACCATCAAAACATTAAAACATAACATAAAAAAATCATCAAAACAGATAAACACCTGAGTGGCATTTGCAGTATTTGCAGTAGCTGTTTTTTTTTTCCACAGTTTGACATGGCGCTCCACAAAAACACAAAACTCGTTCTGCCTTCTCTGCACTGGGACCATGCAGACGTCCGAACCTGCGGCGACTTCCCGTTCCCAAGTAGTTTGTGATTACCCTCTGGTAAACATACAAAAAACTATGGAAAATCACCATGTTTAATGGGTAAATCCACTATAAATGACAATTTTCAATAGCTATGTTAGTCATTACCAGAGGGTAACATGAATGCATCAGTCAAGATGGTCCAGTAATAAAGGTAGGATCATGGGTGGTATCCAAACACCTTTTGTCACAAAAAACACTGCATAGTAATATTGAAAAAAAACTCCAAGGGTCCGAGAATTCACATCAAATCTACAGCGATCTTTAAACACTGTGAACAAACACCTGCGTCCGAAGCAACAAATTGGAACAAAAAAAACCACTGAGCATCGCACCTGTTGCGGGCATGTTCATCCAAGTCCTGAGTGGGTTTGTAGCGTGGGACTCATCCAAATCGTTTGAGTCAAAGATGTTCATTTCAACATGTATAGGTGGAATTAGATCTGACTAGTTAGTGGATGATCATCATATTCAATTCATCAATATTCATCATGAGTAATGTGGTAAACCCCAGAAATAAACCATTCCCAATATCATCACAAATGGTTGGTATAAACCCTCCAAAATTGGAGGTTTATTACGGACTATAAGGGTTACCCGCCCCCATATTCTCCGTATTGTTTCACAACCAGGCTTTCCTGTGGATTACCAGCAAATACTGCAACGTTAGCAATATGAAAAGGTTTCATGAGTTTGCTAAATCTAAGTCACCTAAGTCATTACTATTAATAAAACAGAAAAAGACCAGTTGTTTCAAACAGACTTTATCACCATTCTCTAAAAAAAACACTAAACATACACAACTGTTTCTTTCACACCACTGGATGACGTGCATAAAAAAAAACACCACCAAGGTGCCGCTCGTCGGATATCGTCTTTGTTGAGGCCCACCAAACTACCCAAATCGGCCGTCAAGCGGTTCTCATAGTGCGTGGGGTTACCTTGCGGTGCCTGCGACCCTGGGATGTTTTTGAGGTTAAAAAACGAGTAGAGATCATGGTGCACATAGATACATTAGATTGTATAATATTGTAATATACAATATTGATGCTGCTTACTGTATATTTAGTTTTACATAGTTTTACTAAATATTTATGGGTAGTGTAATTTGCATATATACATATATACATACATTACATTACATCATACACTATATTAAAAAATGCATGATACAAAATTACATAATATAAACATGTATATATATATATATATATACATACATACACGTTGTAAAGTACACACGCCTATTAACTTATATATATACACATATACACATATACACACTAACCTTTATATATCTACATGCTCTATGTTTGTATGACACGCGCCCAAACCATCAAAACTTCTGAATTTTGGTAGTCAGAAAGAAGACTCATCAATCACGAGGTACAATGTTTGTGGATTATACGTATATATATATATATATATGTATATATATATATGTATATGTATGAATATATATATATACAGTATACATATATATATATATATGGATCACCAAATGGCACCAAACTAAGCGGCGAAAATGACAGAAATTCCGCAGTGAAGCATCGCTCGGTACATACTGTGTCTATCTGTGTCTTGGAGCCCTGAATCCTTACCCTCTCGTGAAAAAAAAACAACATGGAAGAACTTCCACCATGTTTTGATGGATCAATTACCATCATTTGCCACAATTTACTACCTTGATCTACCATGAATATGTATGTATATATATATATATTCATATGTATAATGTGTATACATATATATATAGATATACACATACGAGTACATTGCTTATTTGTGGAATTCCATGTTGTCTTCAGAGAAGTGGTTGTGTCTGAAAATAGAGCGCCCCCGATTCCATGTGGTACCCCATGTTAAAACACACCCTTCCATTATATATGGTTGGCTTTACACCCACATGTTTACTTGTTGCCGCAATTTCGTTTATTCGTTTCCTGTCAGCCCAAAACGTTTTCGATAAGCTTTCTTCACATATTTCAGATTCGATTTCTGACCATTTCCACAATCTACCTGATGAAATACCTATTTTTCAGGGTTATTCTTTTTTTTCATGGTGTTGGATAGTTGAATTCATAGTTTTGATGGTTATATAGTCAAATTATGTCAAATTCATATTTCTGATAGTTTTTCAATACTGGTTGATTTTATGAAAAGTACCCAACATGTTCCTATTTTTTTTCATGGCTAGTCCCCAAGATTTTTAATCTTGGAAGATGTCCAGCGTCGAGAAACCATCGTCACTCACCACCCCACGGCTGAGATGATCGATCGCCAGCATCTTGATGGCCATCACCTGGCCAATGTCGCCACGTGTCGAAAAACTCATGCGAAAAGCAGGGAAAACATCTGGAAACCATGGGACAACTGTGTTGTTGAAGTACATGGGATAGAAATGTTGCGTTTACTATTTCTATGGTGAAACTGAACTATGAAATTATATGAAATTATGGGAAAACATCTTTAACAGAAATACAATTTAATTTAACCATTTTGAATCACACACATGCAGGAAACTTATGGTTCCAATCGACTCACATTGGGAGACGGGACGGATTTTTGCGAGGGTTTTTACAAAGATGTGGAAAGCACATGACCCATGGGTTTCAATAGGAAAGCATAGGAACATGATCTACAAATGGTTTTCTACATTTATGTAAACGTTTATATACAGGAGGACAGGAGGGTATATCATCATGATAGCCAAAGTCACATGATGCAAGCACTCAGGCTTTCGCCTTATAGTCACCCACCATCGCTCGAACGAGGCCTTTGAAATCTTGACCTCAGCATCGCCAAACTTGCGCATTGCGTGGCAGTGAAATCAGTTGATAAACATATATTATACAAAGATCTATGGCATGGTGAAGTATATTATATGGATAATGAAAGGTAGACTATAAATATATATGTATATATACACTACAAATCACTACAAACTGTCAAGCTAAAAGCTGGAATCATACCTTTTAGAAGTTGCCGCTCCAACTGGATGAATGGAAAGCACATCACCATCGCTTTGCTTTGGTTGGTAAATAGTGGCATCCGTGTAAAATGAGTTATTATAAAAATATGCAAAAGAAAACAGTCAGGTTAACAGTACACCCCCTATATTAACCAATCAACCGTCATTTGTCAATTACATCCTCATATCTAGGATAGTTTAAAGCCTCATGAAAAAACTCGTGAATCATTGATTCTCAAATCATAATCCCATTAAAAGCTCAATTCACGGGTTAAACTATGTTAAACTCATGGTCCACGTATCGCATATATCATATATCATCTTACATCTACCTAGAAATTCCCATATCTTTAATTCTTAAAATCCCATATAAAAGCCCTACAAAGGTGGGCTTTTAGTTGAGATAGCCAAGTTGGTACAAACAACTCAACTATAACCAGGTAACAGGTCAAGGAGGTTGGCCGTCCCTGAGCATCTGGCTGACTCCCAGCAGTTCCAGGCCGACTCGTTCGACCACCCGGGCCTGAACTGCTTGGCAATCCAGGAAAGCTTCGGCTACCTGCAGCACCCGGCTGGACCGGCTGGACCGGGTGGGTCCGAATCGCCAGCCAGGGGGCCCTGATTCATGATTCGTGAAGCTTTTGGTTTCTGTCCAGCCCATTAATACTGCATATATATATATATATAGTTATACTATTCAACTAAACCAGTGAAACAGATATAAGCCGACTATGGTTACATACTAATTATACTTATATCATATATCATGTTATATCTATTTATATCTACCATACACCCAAGAGTTACTGTTTTGCAGCAGCTGCGGCTTGGAGGTGGCTTGGGGCCTCTTTCAGGTACCGCGCTGCACCTGGCTTCTTTTCATGGCCATAATGCACCTTGGTCGCAAGATCTTAGTGTGAGTATCTAATGGGGTAACCCCAAATCATCCAACGGACCATTTTAGTATTGAAACCTATGGTTTTGGGCATCTCCCATTTTGGGAAACCCCAAAAAAGAAGACACTCTGCAGACTCTGCAGAGTCATAGTGGTTCCAAAAAATCTTATATGAAAGGTGCCAAAATGTTCCAAAAAATGACTTCCAAGGCATTGCACCAGTAGCATTTGACCAACTGCAGCACAACTCTGAGGTCTCAACAATTGATCGCATTAGCCATTTGAGGTGATTGTCCATGGGCTGAGCGAGCGCAACCCATGGGAGTCGACTTTTTTTTCGGCTCCGTTGACTCCGTTGGACTCACTGCAATTAGTTTCAATGACTCGTTTATGTTCGTTTATCACATAAGTCACCACGTCTTCATTGGCAGAATCTCTCTTCTACTGCAAGTTCTCAATCGGAGGTTGATGGGGGTTACCATGATGATCAAATCACTGAGTAATCGAGGGTGATTGCCATCATAAGTCATACTTGAATTCCCATTGAAAACATTGGTATGTCTTCACGTGTTTCATCAAAAGTGTTCAATGCCCTCCGACGATCAAACATGGGTTGCTGGAAAGGCCCCAATTTCGATGATTTTCCCAGCGAACTAAACCTGCATTGATATCCACTGCGCCCCCCGACGGTTCCATTGAAGGCGCGAAGGCCATTCTGATAGGCGGAGGCCAAGAAATTCAGGGAGTATTGTCCAGGCCTCAGTGAAGCCAGAGAAAAAATTAAGCAACAATAATAGGATAATTAATGGGTTATTAATGGAATAATTACTGTAATGGATTATTCTTGGAACATTTGATGGTTTGATGGTTTACACTCTGGTGTCATCAAACGTGGCTACAGTAGCTGGACAATCCCCGAACTAAATAGAAGTTCAAACGGGGGACTTTCAATTGCCACGTTTGACTACCGGAGGGTATATCATATGGCTATGGACCTATGGATCAAAACCCAACGCTACCCCCAGTGAACCAACATAGCTGGTAAATCGATGTTCATCCCTCGAATTTTTGTCAGAATATGTTTGGAATGGGTTTGATCTATTCCCGTCTTGCAAAGTAAACCATAATCCATTAATAATCCACTAATTTTCCCATTATTAATGAAACATCTGATAGTTATCTCAGTGTAAACCATTCATAATCCATTAATAATCCATTCATAATCCATTAATAACCCATCAATTATCCGACGTAAATAAATATATATATATATAATGAAAGTTAAGGTTACAATGTCCCAGTTTTGAGGTAACAATGAGCCTCTCTTTAGAGACCCCCCAAGAACGTGTTAGAGCGCCGTGCTAATATATATATATAATTATATATATACATATTTTATAGCTGTAATTAAAATGGTTGATATCTCCATATATTCCAAATCAATCCAATGGCCATTTTAAAAAATCCCTCCAACAGGGTGACCCTAAAAAAGGGGGCTTGGAAGACTACGCTGAGATGAGAAATCAATTGAGGTCATCATCATTGGTGTCACCAGCTGGAAGATTTTTGGGCTTTGTTCCTACAAAATGCGGTGGCACTTACCATGCTGTAAAAATTAGCTGGAGTTTTCTTTTGGATTCACAGTGTCATTGACAGGAAAGCAAATTTTGAAACGCAGTGGACATGGTCACAAGAGCAGAAGACATATCTCACTGCACCACCTCGACCTTGGCTTTGCTTCCAGTTCTGCTTCCCCATGGGTACAAAATGTGCTCGGATAAACCACTTTTATCACTCTTGAATATGAACTAAAGTGGATAATAGATGATAATAGTGGATTATGTTGTATCGTTTTGTATCATATCCACAATTGACAGTCCGTTACAAACCAAATATCAGCCTCGCATGGAGTTGGGGAAAAGGCTAAACGTGTTTCTCTCAAGTCTATGCTCCAGTTGAAAAAAATCAGCTGATTACTCAACATATCAAGATCCACATCCATATGTGGATGGGTCAAAACATGTCAAAACGCTGTACTCCTTGTTTTCATACCAAAATAGCTGTGTGATGGTTGGATGCTTCTCCCCTATTTAAAATATAGGTATTGATTCATAGCCATATTATGATCCTTCCATTCTGGTGATTCTTCGTCAGCCTGGGTGTTTGAGATGCCGTGCATGTCGCGGAACAAATACTTCTCCACACCCTTCACATGCTCCTAAGCGGGAACTAGTACACAGACTGACGGATGATAGGGGTTCCGACCAGGCGTCATTATATCCAATAAACAACAATAAACCAGGTAGCCAGTAGCATAACATCGCATACCCACCTGTAATGATCAGGATTTTGGATGATTTTGGTCTGTCCTTGAAGACCTTCTTCACTTCCTGACAAAAACACGAAGCTGCAGGAGGACCTATGAGCGAATTATGTTTCAGATATCATGGGATATGCATCTCCTGAAGCGCTTTCTTGGGTCATTCCACATTGTGAAGGCTCCCCTTGTGTGTCAGACTGTGGGCAAGTCTTCCTGTGATGGCTTGATCGTTTTTGATGTGGTACTGAAACGGACTTAGTTTGGTGCTGCATTTGAGTGCCCCTGGCCACTGCCTTTTAAGGTGCTTTCCGTGTCAGCCACAACGGGTTTTCCGTGCATATTGGGGTGTAATTCCTGGATAGCGGCACACCCATTGCTCCGGGTGGCATATGGATATGGGATGGACATCCAGATCAATTGGACAATTGGCGAAGTGTAGTTCGGTATACTGAACCAATTTCTCCTTTGTTCTAGTATGTTGTGGTAATGATTGCAGAAAGCCGGTATTTTTAGGTGAACCCCGGTTTTCACCCCAAAAAAGCTGGGATTTATGGATGTTCGATTCATCTCATTCATCTCCCCAAAATATATAAATATGGTATCTGGATGAACTACAATAACTCACTGACTTGAATAGTTAAGCCATTTGGGGATGATTCCCCTATACATTCACCATCATTCCAGTGACGTCACACTGAGGTCGTTATAATTCAGTGAGATTATTAAGCATCATATCCTCATTATATCCTCATTATACCCCACTACAAGCTCCATTTAGTTCGCGGATTTCCCATCTAGCCATGTTTAAAGTTATCAAAGGGTAATCCCATTGCCAAATGGTCCATCCCCAATTGAGCTTTCTAAAAGGGGGCTTCCTAAAAAGCTGGTACCACCAAATCATCCAAGTCATTAGACCGTTTGTGTATTGAAACCTACGGTTTTGGGGTACCCCAATTTTTAGGAAACCAACCAAATTTGATCATTTGGGTACCCATGGATACCCCATGGATCGGGATGATGTGTGCTGACTCGCCAGTGATGGTGCCACGCCTCTTGGCTGAGTTTCTCATCCTCTTTCGTGGCTTCTGCTGGCAGTGGCACCTCCAGTTCGGATACCCAAGCAGCGTCCAACCACTGGATACCCAAAACAAGAACCAGGGAGAAACTTGGAGAAATATGGGAGGAAACTAGATATACAAATGCCCAAGTAAATCTCAATATGACTGGTATATTTTATACATGGGAGAAACTTGGATAAATGGGTCAATCATGGTCAATCTGTTCTTATAGTAGCATGTTGTACAGTAGCCAAAAATGAGATGCTTTTCAGCCAACAAAGTCACGATTTCATCCCCTTGGGAATGGAATGCTGCCTTACGAAGAGTGAATCAAATCTGCTGAAATTTCGAGCAGCCGCCAGAGCCTCCTGAAACAAGCCATGATTCTGAACTGTTGCGTCAGTTTCTGATCTTTTAGGAAAAAATGCAACACATTTCTAGCAATGAAATGGCAACCATGGAATCCAGGGTCAAAGTACACCACCTTGCACAAACAAAATTAGAACTGGAGGATAATTCCCCATTCAACATGAATTTTGGGACTAAAATCTAATTTTCCCCATTAACATGGCTACTGGTATTTTAAGAGTTTGCTATTGAAAATAATCATTGTGAATAGGTAGATCATCTACTATACATCGGCCATGTGGAACCATTTTGCACAGCTATGTTCATTTTCGTGGGTTTATCTGAAAATAAGGTCTCTCTGAATTTCATGTTTAATCATCATCTTCCCCCCAAAAACTTGTAATTTTGTGGTAATGTTGCTAAAACAGTAGGATCCACCCCAAATTTACATTTTTTCTGGGTTGCATAAACTATTAAAAAATGGTTGATGTTTGCTTTACCAACATATGTTCGACCATATTACCCTCCGGTAAATTAACATAGCTATTGAACATGGCCCATGTGTAGTTGATTTACCTACTTAAGATTATCATTTTCCACAACAAACTGTTCGTTTACCAAAGGGTATAGCATATTTACCAACATATTACCAACATATTCACCAACATATTCCACCATATTCCTTATTTACCACATGTTACCACCATATTTACCAACATCTTCCCATAACGGGTGGCCCAAAAAGCAACAAACACGTCGCCACGTCAAATTTCGCCTGAACAGCGGGGCTCAGCAACAAGTTCACCAAGGCAACGAGGCGGGGACTTCCTCAGCAAACATCAAGCCATGTCTATAATCAAGGATATTTATTTGTTAGTCTATGTGTTTATGTAAATGTATGCATGCATGCATGCATGTATGTATTTATGTATTTATGTATAAATATTTATGTATATGTATTAATGTTTTTGGAATTATGTAAATGTATTTCTGTTTATGTATTTATGTTTATGTCTTCATGTAAATGTAATTATGTAAAAATATTGAAAATTTATGTATATGTATTTATGTATTTGCATTTATGTATATGTATCTATGTGTATGTATTTATGTATATGTATGCATGTATTTGTGTGTGTGTTTATGTATATATGTATTTGTGTATATGTAATTGTGTATATGCGTTTATGTATATGATTTTATGTTTATGAATTTATGTATAATTATGAACTTATGTTTATGTATTTATGTTTATGTATATATGATTATATAATTGTATTTATCAGCAAAGCCCAAAGTGTGGGAATTGTATCCCCGCGAGAAGAAAGAGCAAAAATCCGTGGATTCTCACCCATCATTGGTTTTCTGCGCTAATTCTCCCCCCTCTGGCGGATTCCCGCATACCTCCGTTATGGGCCTCTTTTTTGCTCATGTCTCTGTGTCCAGGCGTTGCTTCAGCAAAGTCATGTACAAGTCACATGTCCGATGTATAGTGGCCTTCGGGCTCACTCTGCTGATCAGACTTTTGGTTCGTAGAGTTGCTTTACGGCACAAGGTTGTTAAGGTTGGGTTTTGGAAAAGACCAGGGTCGGTCAAAGGATTATTGGCTATCGTACAATTGTTGAGAAAATATGTTTTTCTTTCATAGGAGACTGCTAACTTAAGGCTTCAGTCCTCCAACAGTTGGCGCACCTCATCGGCAGACAGGTTGGCAAGCTTCTGCACAACGCTGTCTGGCATGTCTTGTGGAAGAGACGCTATCTGCACAACACTGGCTGCAGCGCGGCGCAAGTCACTGCAACTCCAAGCTTTGCTTTGGAGCTTTTGGGGCTGCATTTGACAGCTTGCAGCTAAGAAAATGGCTGCGGACGCAGGAAAGTTGCAGAAACAGCTGCGGTCTGCCCTTGACAGCTCTTGCCGGGTCCCAAAGTGTCCCAAAATAGGGTTTCGTGCCGGAAAACAGCTCCCATGTGGCTTGAGACCCTTGTGAAGCCACTTTGGAAAATACGAAAAATTACGAAATACCCACTCCAACTCCGGCTTTTCTCACACAACTTTCTCGCACAACCTCCGCATATTCTCACAGAAAGTCCGCCTATTCTCGCCCACTCTCCGGTACGTATTTTCTCCGAAATGAATTTCCCCGCTGTGTCTTTGAATTTCTCCGCTATGTTTTTGAATTTCTCCACTATGTTTTGAATTTCTCCGGTTAGTCAATTTGGAAGTTCTTTTGTCAGGAATTTTAAAGTCAATCCTCGGAGATATGGGTTGGAAAGGCCGACTTCCACCGTTCAGGCACTGCCAAGTGCTTTGAACCCCGCATGTACATACAGCATTCCAATAATTTCGCTTCGGACCAATTATCTGGCTCGAAGTCCATCTGCTGAAACATCACAGGTTCTTCGTGGCTGTTTGCAGGCCCAAAGTCTTTCATGCGTTCCCGTACCTCCACACAGTTGTCCCAGTGAGCTTTGAGGCCTTTCAGCTCGCTAAAGACTACTTTCTTCCCAGCTGCCCCAGGTGACGCCATTTGCCAGAAGCTACAGCCCACAATCTTTTTTTGCTGCCAACCTAAAAGCTGCAACACCAACATGTCATGCGGCAGAAAATTGCTGCCAAACTCGAACCATGTCAAACAAATTCCGACACACTGTGCTTTCTCATATCAAGTTTCCTCTCAGTCATGGGCCCTGATACAAGCATGTCAGGAGGACAGCTGCCAAGCACAGCCGTAGTTCAAGTGAACCAGCACCGCTGAAACCAAAAATGCTATTTCAAGTGCATTCATGTTCAAAAGCAAATTCTCACACAACTTTTCTCAAGTGTGGGAATTCCAACATGAGCACCAAAAAGGGAAAAAACAAAATGTTCCAACATTCCTGCTCTTACGGCTTAAATGGTATGTATATGTATTTATGTATATGCATTTGTGCATATGTATTTATGTATATGTATTTATGTATATGTATTTATGTATATGTATTTATGTATATATGTATCTATGTTTATGTATTTATGTATATGTATTTGTGTATATGTATTTATGTGTTAATATATATGTATATGTTAATGTATATGTATGTATGTATATCATTGCATAGCTATATGTACATCTATATATGTATCTACGTTTTATGATCGTTGATGCAGAAACACATCAACCGTCGCAGCACCAAATCAGAAACTCAGATCCAAAGAAACCTAAGATCAGCTGGGTCATTCTCCCACTTGGTTCATCCACAAACAGGGTTGCGCCCTGGCCACCCCAGATACGTTTGGGGCTAACATTGCTATAGATTCATAGAGGTAAAATGACCAAACCCCGCCCCCCCTATCATGGCTATCACGGCCCCCTATCATGGCTTGGAGCACTCGATTCCAACTGGTGAAGGACTTCGATTCCTTCCCAAGGCATGCTGGCAGCCACGTCAAATCCCCTAATCTTCAATCAGCATCCTCAATGAATCAGGTAGTATAATGTAGTATAAGTCCCCAAAAATTAACCAATCAACCAGGCTTTTAGTTTTGCCTCACTTGTCTTCTTCTCAAATCCACAAGCGAAATCTTCACCACTTTGCAGCTCCAAGCTGCTGGTTGGCGCAGCCGCCACTTCCCGAGAGCTTCTCGGCTGCAGCCATGGTGGTGTGATCTCATTGTCACTCTCCTCATCCTGGCGGTGTGATCCCCATCATGGCTATCCATCGGTAAAATGGATCCATAATTATACCAAACAACCAGCTAACGCATGGTATGAAACATAGGTTTTGATCCCCATATCGAAGAAGGCACCCGAAAAAGGCTGTTTTAGTCACGGTAAGCACTTGGCAGCATGGAACTAAAAACATATTAAGAGAACGCTGGTTCTGTGCCTCTTCTTCATCTTCTTCGTGGGGTTCATCTTCCTCAGACTCAGTGCTTTTGATATCCTTGGTTGCAGCTGTCAAGAGACTAACTGAATCCCTGACTCTTCACAGCACCCAGATTTTAATTTTCATTGACATGTCCTTGACTAAGTGCACCTTGATTGAACATCGCAGGTAGTAGAACTCAGAAGCCTTTGAACCTTGCTTTTCTTGACACCCAAAAAGCAGGAACGTACAAATGATCCCCATTTCCACAGCTTAGTTCAATCTCCATTTGTTCAGTTTCGGCATGCCTAAGTTCCCATATCTTAAAGTTCAATCGGTGTTTCTGATCTGCAAACTTCGCAACTTTCTGTGCGCTTGTGATGCTTGTGTTATCTGGGTCTGAAAAATAGCCTCCAGTTTCGATGGATTACCATGATTACCCTCTGGTAAACAAACAGTTTGCTATTTAAAGCCATAGAAATAGTGGATTTAGCCATGACAAAATATTAAAAATAGTGATGTTTCCAGTTCGCAAACTGTCAAATTTTGTACCGGAGGGTAAAATTTGGGCTATGCCTGGCGACTCCAGGGTATCCCAGGGGTATATCCTCTTGACATCCCTTGACCTCCAGGTGTCCCGTTGCATCCCCGTGTTCAGATTGATCTGCGCCATGGCCAGCAAGTCGATGAGGTAAGGGTGGCCTCGCGCATGAAACTCCACCTGGCACGTCTGGGGAAGATAGATGATATTCCCCATGATAGTTTATGGAATCCTATATGATTAAGGCATTAGCCTATATTATAACTATAATTATGATATATGATATTCCATTTTTGTTTATTCAATTGATAACGGTATATTTTATGGAATATACCAATATACCATAATATACCAATATACTATTGGATAACTAATGGAATATACCAATCATAATCAGTTACAATAGGATAATACCAATCATAGGATTCCAAACTATAATGGGAATAGGATTGGATACCAATCATCGGATAGTGGAATATACCAATCATAATGGGGGAATAGTATCCTTATTAGGGACTTGTAAAAATTATAACATGGGATTTCACATTCTATGGGGGGTTCCATAAAATGGGATCTCCAAAATGGATGATTTATAATTTATAATACAAGAAATCCTACCAAAAAAATAATGATATGAGGGTACTCACATTTTAGGAAACCTCCAAATCAAGGATGAGAAAATCATGGAACACTTAGATACATATGCTTCTTTCATGCTTTTGCAAAGGAGATGTCAAGAATTTTGGGGCCGGAAATGCCTGACTTGAATTCAGCTTGGTGGGGATGGGTCATTTCCCTACTTTTCACCATCCTCAAAATATGGTGTTATGATTAAACAGCTGCTCTGGTTGGGTACTGATACCATCAAGGTACATAGCTGGTAAATACCTATATATATATATATATATGTGTGTGTGGCCAGGATGGGGGTGCTGCCCGGGGAAGTGTGTTTTGACTGCGCAGGGCCAGTGTTTTATGCATTATATATACATTATATATACATTATATATACTGTATATATATATATATACACATTATATATATATACTGTATATATTAATATATATTATGGGTATGGATTCATCCCCCCAAACGGCAAAATAGATGTCTGCACCTCCGTTCGACCTTCACGTCGTGCTGCTTCGATGCGCTCCTGCGTTCCAAGGAGGATGACTATACCCATAGGATCCATGTATGGTATATATGCTAACATTGGGGGTATATTGATGGTAAATGTTACCATATATAGCATACATGGATCCTATGGGATATATAAATCACTAGTGTTCAGTCACCAAATGGGCTGATGTTTGTCTTTTTCTAACAATGTCAAGTACCATTTTGAATTACACTGATGTTAAATCAGCTACATGCATTCAAATATTATGTTGGGTTAAATCACCATTGATATAGTGAGTGATCTTGTATCCTGTAAAGCATCTGCAACTCAGCATCGAACCTGAGTCTCATTGTCGATCCGAACCCAGCTTCCCAAATCCACCCACCAGACCTCGAAGCTCGGCGCATCAATTTGTAGTGCAGTGGCCGCCCAAAGGCCCAAAGTCCCCAAGCTTCCATATCTTGATACAGGGGCGTCCCCATACCAGCTTTTATTCCAAGTAGTTTGTCAAATAGACAAACTACTTGGAATACATTGTTTAATGGAAAACAATGGATATAAATTCGGCACCACTTGACACACATTTCTGGTTTACTCGCAGTGTTCACCATTTCTCGGCACCTGAGGCTCCCAACACGTCGTCCCTTGGCCGGGGTAGGGGCCTCTGTGGTCTTGTCATCGGCTAAAACTCGGGACTCACCTGGTACCGAAGCTGAGCCGAGCTGCCAAGCTGAGCTTGGGGAATATATGGAATTTATGGGACACCATAGGTTTTACCATAGGTTTTGCCAGTCATAAAGTTAAAGGTGTCCTGCAAATCTTCGCTTACAGGGAACATCTTGTGGGGATCTCCATCACCCATCGCCAACCAGCAAGGGTTCCGTCAAATATGCGGCGCCCAGTTCTGATTTCAAGACCCAAATCGACAACACGCTCAATCCCCCGCCAAAAAAATAAACATCCGCTATCCGCAAAGGAAAAACATAAGAAACACTGGTCAAGTGACAAACAGGTCCATGTGAGCGGCCACTGCTTGCGATACACGTCCTGAAGAGGCTCAAAACATGAGATTTTAAGGACATGTGTTTTTTTGCTGAGCCGAAAACATGATCAAAACAATATCAAAACCAATACCAATATATCAAAACCATCGCAACCAGCGGTTTTGAAGCATGTTGAAAGCACGAAAAGTTAGAAACTGATATCCTTTCAGAGACAGTTGTCGCTTCGGACGTCGCTCCTGCAGCAGCTGTCATATCCTTCTGCGGCAGGGCGTCCGCAGCTGTTGAGACAGGTCTTCTCAACAGGAACTTCCTTGCGGTCAGCCTCAACCGCTGGAAGCTGATGTCACGACTCTCCGCTTTCCGATGTCTGAAAAACTCAATAAGGATATTGAAGGATGATATAAGGAACCCTGCTGTGTAACCTCTGTGTAGGTAAGGTTCAAAAGATTCTCTCAGAGTGCAACTCAAAACAGGTATGACTGGAACAAACAAACTATTGTTTTGACTTGTCAGCATGCCATAGTACTGTATTAATCTTCTGAATAGCTGCAAATTCTGCCTCAACATTGAACTGAAGAGCTCAAGGTACCAAATCGACCATGACTAATCTCAATGCCTTGATTTTGTTGGGGAAAAGATCTCTGTCTCTCTCTCTATATATATATATATATATATGTATGTATTATAACACCATATATATATATATATCCATATACAGGAAACCATGGTAAAAATTCTCCAATATACCAAATATAGTGTGTTACCGATATACCTCTTCTTCACCATGACCAGGACTGCTACTGAGTTCTTGGCTTCCAAGAAATGTGGGTCACCCTCACGGAGCGGGCATTCATCCTGCCACATGTCGACCACTGTGCAATCCCCCAATACGCTGCACATCCTACAGTTGTCCTCGTTCGTATTGTGTGGTGCAGCACGATGTATGTATATCACATTTTGTGTATATATATATATATATGGTATATATATGGTATATATATATATATATTATGTATATATATATATCATATATATATATATATATTATGTATATATATATATATATATCAAATGATATATATATGCATATATATATGTATATGTGTGTTTGTTTCATTCACATAACTACGGAACAAAGATAAAAAGATAATGCCTCAGCCAATAGTAAATGTGTTCTGTGACCAAGGTGCCAGGGAACTGTCATCATGGTTGCACATGCTAAATGGGCGACAGGACAGTTAGATGCTATCAAGACAACCAAAAAGTTTTGGCCTTGACATGTCAAGACATGATTAGATCAAGTGATTAAACATTATCATAACATGATCACAGTCTCCACAAGATATGACCATCCAAGTGCACTAGCTTCTTCATGTTTCTTCCTCCCATACCCCCCTCCGCCAAGTATGACCTTTGTCAGTCCAGCAGTGTTCTTTCTGGGGTCACTGCCCCCTTGCAGATGCTCGCTGGAGACAAAGAACCGAAGAAAAAAGATAGCTTTCACAGCCCAATTTGGCGCGCCTATGGATGCTAAGATAAACACATGCATGTCACGGAAACGTAATTCATTCTGAAATACAATACCCATATGCTCCATGTATGGTATATTTACCTACATTTGGGTGATTTTTAGGGTAAATGTTGGTAAATATTCCATACATGGAGCATTTGGGATATATAGCTCCCAAGCCGCCATGATTAAAAACCCACACCGGCCTCAAGGCGGTGGAACACCCTTCTTTCTTTCTCAAAGGTCGTGACCAAAAAAACATTTATGAAAACTCAGACCAGGTAGAACAATGATTAACAATTGGCAAATATACATCAATATAGCCATAGCCATTATTTTTGGGCACTTGGAGCGTCTAAGTCTGTCTGGCACATGCCATTCGAATCAGGGGAAAGAGCGTTAAAGTTTCCAGGATGCGCAGAGGATGCAGCCATTCGAATCACATCATTTATCAGCTAGATGCCTTTTGTTTGCTGTGATGGTTGACACCCCCTTTTTCACTGGTGTGGTCCCAGATAGAACAGTCAATCCCCATTGAAGTAGTGACAATTCACCACAATTCACCATAGTAATCCCGGAAAAGATCGAAAAGTCAATCCCAAAAAAACATTCAAATGATTTCAAAATGGTGAAGATCCACTCTTTTCATACCAGAAATATATCCCATCTGAGGAAATTCCTTGGAGGAAAATCTCCATTTAAGTGGTCAATAAGCCTGGTTAGTAAGTCCCCTAGGGTTGTAGTGGGTTACACATGGGTTATACCATCTAATGTCAACCCTGGATTAATAAACCCCACAAACGGCTGTTTAATTGGGAAGGTACCATAAAAAAAT